GTGTTAGTTATGGCCTCAGACACAGTCTTAGACTATATTAGAATATGCAAATTGCCATGAAATCCCTCAAGCACAGAGGCTGATATTCTATATAAGTCCTGCTTTCTGCAGTGTGTGTACAGCAGGTGATTATATCCCACTGCTGCAGCTCTCCTCCTCCGCAGTCAGTATTTAAAAGAACAGAAGGAGAAACTCTAATTATTTGCATTCCCCACCTGGCAAAGTCAACATGGAGGTTTTATTAAAAGACACCAGTAATTCATACTGATCTGACAATATATATTACATTTTTTATTGACAGAAAATTAGATTATGGTCCTGAACATTCCGTAATTACATCTAACTTTTACCCTCATCCTGATCATGAACATTTTCATCTTTTCTAATCAGAGCATTGGGGTGTTCTCTACATGTTCAGATAGTCCTGCTTGTATATTAACTGATTAGAGTTGATTGATTTTCCTGCCACTACATGTAGCAAAAGCAAGCTCGATCCCAGCAGATGATAAATGAGTTTCAGAGTTATCAGGTAGATGAATCGATGTATGGATCAATGGTAAAATGCAACAAGGTCATTCTTGTTGAAGATAAAGCATTTAGTATGCAGATTCATGCATGAGGTCCTTGATGTGAGGTCCAACTTCTCTACTCCAACTTTTTAAAACATGTACAAGATTCTTGCCTCTGTTGCTCATTTCTGTCTAATTAACCACTACAAATTAGATATTACCATTAAACAAAAGTGTATAATTAAATCTATACATGACTATAATCAACCTTATAATAATAACCTTATTTAACTAAATTGTGCAAAAAATGGCTGTGCCCCAACATCTGCCCTACCCCCTAAATCCCTCAATTACTATCTAGAGTGGGGACTAAATAGTGGACTTTATAGTGAACGTAGTTAACTGGACATCCTGATATAAGATCACTACTTCTTACTTCCAGTTGGTCACGTGACTCTTCCTCCCTGCATTTGTCACCGCTGTCGGGTAGCAACGGCCATAGCGGGCCACTTTGACAAAATATCCCATGATGAGAGCTCTCCTCGCAAAGCATTCCAGGATATATCTGCTCGTGTAGTGACCATGGATGATCACTACTTTTCAACGTTAATTGTGTGAAATTTCGAGTCCGTTACTTTTTCATCCACTAGACCTTCGGACACTCAACTAAAACGGTGTAGCAACTTACTAGTGCCCTATACAGTGATTAGGGCGGACATTCGGACACAACTTGTGTGAAGAACTAAGCAGGAAGAAGGAAGTTACACATCTAGTTGCAAAACAATCTTTTTGTACCTTATGTGCTTCATTTAATATATAAGTGTACTTACTTAAATCTTGCACTTAGAGCATGCATTTAAAACCTCCAGCACATCAATTTAAATGCATACATTAAATCCATATATATTAAATGTATATTAAATATATAAAAAAATAAAAACATAGATGAGTTGTCTTCCTGGGACTGCCTGAAATTTGCCAGATTTTATTTTAAGTTATATAAGTATTTCAGTCTTGATTTGAACCCCATCTGTGGATGTTCAATTATCTCTGAGGCAGGGGTTTTCAACAGGGGTCACAAGATGGTTTCACAGTCATTGTGATGTGATCCTTAAGGGATATGAAAAACAAATCTTTTTCGGGCTTAATCTGCCAGGGTCGTGGTGGGGCTATTCTCCACAAGTTTACAGGCAATGGGTAGGGTACACCCCTGACAGGTCGCCAATTTGTTGCAGGGCCCAAAATATATCATGATATCCATAAATTTCAATGCAACGTGAAGCAAGTAAATTTACTATGAAATAAGTGGATGTAACATTTCTAAAATACATGATTTAAATATTTAAATAAACAAATTTTAAACTGCACAATTAAATGATTAGTGCTCCATTCAACAATTAATTATCATTTGAAAATACATACCATTATACACATCCTCAGGGGGGCTACAGTCTGTTGCATAATTATTTTTGAAGGTCACAGCACCAGCATGCAAACACATTTTACTGAAACTGTAACTCAAATAAATGGTAGAGAGAATAAATGTTACCATTAGTTATTTTGTAGAATGTTATTTACAAAACTGTCACTAAGTAAAAGTCCTACATTAAATAGAGTCAAATACATTTATCTGCTAAGTTTGGATAAATTAGTAACTTCAGACACCTTTTTAATTTTAATAGATGAAGAAAATTGGGACAATATTAATTAGCGTACTGTATATTCCTACTTAATATTAAGTGACATGATTGTGTTGAAATGAAACTCTTATATTTAGTTCAAAATGTATTTTCTTCTGTTTATTTAAATAAAATTTTACTTGCTTGTTCAGCTTAAAATCTAAACTGAATTTGGTAGTAATGTGACCATAAAACAGTAACATAAACCAAGCAATATCTTGGAGTGTGGGACCTAGCATGTCTTATGTAACTCTTTTAATAGTTAAAATGATGCTTTATTCTGAACATAAGCAGGTTTTGTTATATTTAAACATAAAGAGTTTTTCACTTAAGGAATTTAAGGTATTTGCTGTAGGTCAAATAATAAGGTCTGTAGCAGTTAATGAGTAAAGTTAATAAGTTTATTTTAATCTTATAACCTATAAAGGGAAAGATGAGACAGACAGAGTGTAAGTTTCACAAGCTTTTGCAAAAGGGGAAAGAAGTTTGTGCACTGAAGTCTCTTAGCTCTACTGCAACGGTACATCCCCTTGAAGTCCTTTTGTATTTCATGCAAGCAGAGCGCAGTTAAATTGTCACAAAACATTGCATTGTTACAACACATTGCATATGATACAGTCACCTGCTTATCAGGGCTTACTTTCCACTGTCTACCAATCAAAATGAGTCAAACCACTTCTAGCTTGCACATGATTCCCTTTGTTTATTCAGCAGACATGAGTTATTTCTTAGCTGGAAGGGTCAAAACAGCACATTTTATCTCCACACAAACATATCCACAAGTAGAGGGGAACAACACTTTAAGTATATAAAATGGTAAAGGATTAATAAATCCAACCAGTGGAAATTTCTGCTGTTTCCCAAGATGCTTAGTTCTATGTTTTATATCCACTGAAGCACCACGACTGAGGTGGCAGGCTTTTACATATAGAACTCATTACAATAACAATTCCACCACATGAACTGTTTGTTTTTTATATCTGTTGCATAATCCAGGTCCATGAATTTACTCTAACCTCACTATTGCATGCAGGTCTGTTGGTAGAAGTCTACCATTGAGGGCATAATTCAAATTTATATTAATTGGATCAAGTTATGGGAATTAGGTGTTTATATAAAACATAAATGTCCATAATCCTGTCAATGAAACCCAATAATCACATAACAATGTTAAATAAATTACGTTATACTGTGATATTTCAGCTATATCAGCAACTGTTAAATTTAACTTCACATGACTAATTTATAAAAACATATGTCAACAGTGCTGCATTTAAATATCTGATTAAATATCCTTGTTCGATTTAATTTAACAGTTATGTTAAAAGTAAATATTGAATACATAGCATTTATCAATCTACCTTACCCAGAACCACTTGACATAACTTGCTTTGGTAAATAAAAAAAAAAACGAATCTTTTAGTCTGCAAATTCCTCCATACTTGCATTGATGCATGCATAGATAAGCATTTTTCTGCTGACATCACAGATGTTAGCTGGAAGCAAAAACAACTAAATAATACAATAAAACCAGGGGACTGGACAAAAACAATCATCAACCATGCTTATGTATGTAGCACAAACCTTAATTTAAGGTGAATAAAATATAGTTTTTCTTGTAATGTTTCTCACCCAGCCATGCATGTGCAGTTCATCGTCAAGATGTAGTTATTTTTTTCTGCTTACAATGAACCAATAATGCTACACTGTCCTTTATTGCCTTGGTGCAACTAGGTAAAACTTTGGTTCACTCCCTGTTTCACTTTATCATACGAATTAAATTTTCAGTCAGAGGTCATCTTGGCAGATTGTAGGTCCACTAAGTAAGTGTGTACAGGTCGACCATTCAAGTTCTGACCTTAACATTTTGTGGCAGTATGCCCTGGTGGGCTTTGAACGCACCACACGGGTGCCTAATTCTAATTGGTTGTGGCGCTCGCTGGTTGCCTGTGTATATAAGGGGCCCTCCCTCACCGGGTTGACATTGCATTGTTCTCCTTCCGGTTCAGACCTCTGCGTTTGTTGGTGCTGCACGCCAGGTAAGGCAGGCTTCTTCTCTCTCGAGCAAGTTTATTACTTTTGATTTATTTTCATTTTTTGTATAACAGCTGCAAATGAATGCATGCACTTAAACAATGCGCTTAACGGCATACTGATTGTGGACCAATCGTCCTTCGGACTGCCAGTACAAGCTTCCCACGCTTTCCTCCCTGTAAGAGGCACTACTTAAAGAGCTCAGTGGTAAGCACAGTGCTAGTTTTTGCATGCTTTTAGATTCTGTTTCTAATATTTATTTCTGATAGCCGCTGCTGTTTGTCCTGAGCCGACTGTTCGCCTGCGTTGTTCGCCTGTCAGCTGGGTTATCTGTCAGCTGCCTATCTGCCGTCCTGTTGCTGGCTTCATACCTGCCGCCCCGGCCGGCATAAAGCTGTGACTTCTAACACTCGTCCAGCGTGGCTGATTGGCGATCAGCTCGGACTTACTCTTTTGGTGCTGCGTGAGTGACGTCCGCCACAGCGGATCGGTTCCTCCCAGGATGGGCCTTAATTCTGGACTATACTGCTGTTAAATTGTGGACTGAACTGTATTATGGGAATTGTACTCTGAATGTTGTTTTTTTTACAGGAACGGTCAGCTCGTGGTGTTGGTGGTGGACTTCTGGGTGGTGGTTCCTCTTCTGGTTTGGTGCATGATTTTCTTTTGCTTTGCCTAGTTCTGTTTGCTGTGTTTATAAAAAAAAAAAAAAAAAATAAAAAAAAAAAAAAAAATAAACACAGCAAACAGAACTAGGCAAAGCAAAAGAAAATCATGCACCAAACCAGAAGAGGAACCACCACCCAGAAGTCCACCACCAACACCACGAGCTGACCGTTCCTGTAAAAAAAACAACATTCAGAGTACAATTCCCATAATACAGTTCAGTCCACAATTTAACAGCAGTATAGTCCAGAATTAAGGCCCATCCTGGGAGGAACCGATCCGCTGTGGCGGACGTCACTCACGCAGCACCAAAAGAGTAAGTCCGAGCTGATCGCCAATCAGCCACGCTGGACGAGTGTTAGAAGTCACAGCTTTATGCCGGCCGGGGCGGCAGGTATGAAGCCAGCAACAGGACGGCAGATAGGCAGCTGACAGATAACCCAGCTGACAGGCGAACAACGCAGGCGAACAGTCGGCTCAGGACAAACAGCAGCGGCTATCAGAAATAAATATTAGAAACAGAATCTAAAAGCATGCAAAAACTAGCACTGTGCTTACCACTGAGCTCTTTAAGTAGTGCCTCTTACAGGGAGGAAAGCGTGGGAAGCTTGTACTGGCAGTCCGAAGGACGATTGGTCCACAATCAGTATGCCGTTAAGCGCATTGTTTAAGTGCATGCATTCATTTGCAGCTGTTATACAAAAAATGAAAATAAATCAAAAGTAATAAACTTGCTCGAGAGAGAAGAAGCCTGCCTTACCTGGCGTGCAGCACCAACAAACGCAGAGGTCTGAACCGGAAGGAGAACAATGCAATGTCAACCCGGTGAGGGAGGGCCCCTTATATACACAGGCAACCAGCGAGCGCCACAACCAATTAGAATTAGGCACCCGTGTGGTGCGTTCAAAGCCCACCAGGGCATACTGCCACAATTTAACTTTTTCTAATAACTATTCCAGTCCAGGAAAGTAAATAACATTATATATTCATATAACATTGGATTTTCTGCACCTGTTTTCTACAGCTAAAAACTTTCTAGATATTACTGTTAAGGTGCTAGGTAGAAGTCCTACTGCCTCCAGATATCCTCTGCCCACATAGTATATCACAATATTTATTAACCAAAACGAGGTCTAAATAAATAATTTCCAGCACTCCTGCTCGTCAGAGTTAATAAGTTACCCTCACACCTACCCCGTACTTCTCTAACTCTTTTAGCAAATAATCTGAGTTGTGCAAACCATTTTTGAATTGTAGATTTAAAATAATTTACAATATAATACACATAAACATGGATGGGCTTTCCTATAGGTGGATGGATAAATGCTCACTTACACATTAGCACGGATTGCTAATGCAGAAAGATACTGTTTGCTTTGGATGACTTATTGTAGCAGCCTAGCTTACATTTTGTAAATTCTGACATTAATTAAACTCAATAAGAAAAAAATTATGTTGTGTTTGATATCTGCTGCCACATTACATCACATTTTAGAAGTGGCTTGTAAAGTATCCTCAGACAAATCACTGATTGTGTCATCAAATAATACAGCCTGCTTTTTTTATGGACCTATTAACAATTCCGTAAAATGTTCATGGTATTTCTAATAATAGTCTTTCACATTAGATTTTTTTAATGGCAAAATATAACTTTAATGTGGGGTTTAACCTGTGATTTTAGCATTTACCATGACAATGTGTTGAATAAAATCTTTGGAGTGGTGAGACATTAGAGGGATTCTGCACCAGTGAGGCACTGTTGATTGAAAGTGATCTCATCTTACAAAACTGCAGTATGCACAGAAGATGAGAATATAATTCTCTTTTCCAACACACCAACCTGCTTTGTAGTGTTTGTAAGGGTAAAAAGAGGGGGTACTAAACACAAATAAAAGAGGTTTAGAGAAACCGTAACTCCATTTGTGAAATATAGGTGATGAGCCTTTAAGAATTATTGCTTATTTGGGAAATCTGGATAATCAAGCATGCTGAAATCCTTTACCTTAGTTGTGAGAAACACGGACAGGTGCTGTGGTTCAGCTAACCTGCAATAAAAAAGGAAGCCTCTGCTTTCAAGTTTGCAATTTATATCTGATTAAAATAATAAAATTAGACTATTATATCATTCAGATAATTTTAGTCATGGGTTGAAATGCAGCAGCTTTAGGGAAAAGTGTAGTCTTTTTATGTTGACTACCGCTAATAGCCATAAAGTGACACCCGTTAGTGTAACAGACCCAAAAGGGATTTATAAAGTGAAGACAAAGTAAAATTTGTCTTGTTTAACTCCGGGGAAGGTGACACTGAGGATTTTCAGAGAACGGCAGGAGCTGTTGGTTCTGAGCTGATCATTCCTCGCTTGGTTTGAACAAGATTGGAGGGTGGACAGGCAGGTGTGGCTCAGGCAGGAGAGCAGAGACAGCCACGCAACAGAGGATTTATTAGTTAAAGGAACTATCGGCTTGGAGATACTTGAGTCTGGATTTTACTAGGAAACAGAGAGACAGATACACAGAATCAGAATGTGGTTGGAGAACAACTGGATAATTCAGTTAGGATTTGGTCAGGTACCACGTTGAAAGCGATAAAGAACTAAGGTCTAACGCCCTCCTCCTGGTTTCAGCTCCTTATGAAGGTCTCCCAATTAGTGTAGATGAGGAACACCTGCCCGCCACACCCCACAGAGAGGAAGCGAAAAGAACCCATACCAGCACAACCTGCACTGAAAAACCATAAGTATGACAATTCCCTCTTAAAGGTTTTCAACAACAGTTAAAAACGCATTTTTTCACAATCCAACTGCAGGTTTACATTAGTTTATAGTGGTGAAATAGAATAAACAGTTTTTTTTATATACAAAAATCTGAGAAGTGTTTATTTTCAGAAATTCAAAACTGATTCAAATCTTAACAGCAAGGAGTGTATCACAGAATTACATAAATCAATGTGTAATTAAAAACTCGAAGTGAAAGCAACAGAACCAAACAGCCCAGAAAAGAAGATCAAGTAACTATGAAAGTTATACCATATATCATTTTAATTATCATTGGAAACAGGTCTATAATTTTTAGATTAACAGCTATTTGCCAGCTAGCCACATTGTTTCCTAGAGAACCTTGTTGTACAGATCAACTTTCTCTCCACAATTTTTCTTGCCGTCTCTGTACTAAAGGACATTTCATTTTGTATACTCAGAATGTATACAATATGCCAATTAAAGTTGTCTAAGTACACACTACACTAACCCTAACCAGATTATTGGGGTAGTAACAAAATTATTGGAAAATATTATGGGCATTTTACTGACTGTTGGGATTACACATTCAGCGCCATTTTAGTCCTGTATTCTGTAAGGAGTGTATCAGATGCGAAAAAATTGTACTAAGTTTCTCCCTCATCTGCAGATTGAAAAACACATTGATCTATAAGAATCTTGTTTTGATTTGCCATGGCAATTCACATACATACATGTACATAAAAAACTATAACTGAAAACCTGTATATGGTAAAATTAAGCAAATATGTTTTACATAATGCAGATAAACATGTATGACGTGGGGTCCTGAAACCCTAAGCCACATATTTTAAGTGTTTTTTTTTTTAAATATATTCCCACTTTTGCTGTACTTTTTAAAAACTCAAATGCTTACACAATCAAGAAAGTAAAACTCAGCTGCGAGCCTATTGTTTTTTTATAGGGTGGGTAGAATTTCAATGAAATCTTTTAGAGGTGCCAACACTGCAGGGTTGTTTTGATGCCACAGTAGCAAAAGTTAACTTCACTATTGAAAACTACAGTTAAAGGCCCTGGAAGGAAGGATTCAAAGGATACATGTATGAAAACAGTTTACAACCAGGCATAAAAAAGTGACATTACAACATTGCAGTAACTTTTACTAGTTTTAATATTTTACTAAATAAAATGTGCAAAACTAAGATTTTTTTTTAACCTAGATTGTAATAAGGGGCTGTCAAATACTGCCAAAAAGCTTGAGTTCAAAGTGAATTTTGCCTGAGCAGCTTTCACGAGTTATTTATATCTGCTGTGCCAGGGTTCAAAAAACACAGTTCAGTCTTCCTTTACATGAAAGGATAAAATAAATTAGTATTCAGTGGGAAGAACTTTGGTTTATCCTTGTGCAGGAGCCTTAGAGTGTGCTAGAATCTCAATGATATAATCGTCTTCAGTATATGCTAATGCCTTTGTTCTTCCATTGCTCCTTTTAGAACCTCCACTCAGTGACACCAGGAGATTACACTGAAGCATTTTATCTAGAACTACATACAGGTTATACCTTTCAGTTTTCCCACTCATTATAAGGAATCTGTAATAAAAAAAAATTATCACATATAAGAGAAACAAAGGTTAACTAAAATAACTTTGTCTTACCATAAGTACCCCCTCAGTCAAAAGTAATAAAGGCTGCCCAAAAGTGTAAAACTAATAATAAAATAAAAAGTATTTTATTTAATCTTTTTAACTTAAATAACTTAAAAAAACAACATAAGCATATTGCATGGAAGCTAATAAAGAATCAAAGTAAATACAAAATAAAATCATACTGTCACAGTCTTGGTTCTGTTATGTTTTCTTATGAGTTTTCAGTTTTACTTTGCTCCATGTTTTCTACTTTTATTGGTTTAATTCCTGTTTTGTTGTGTTTCTTGATGTATTTGAGTTCTTAGGTTGTTTAATTGTTGCCCTATGTTACCCTCTTGTGTTGGTCTCCTTTTCTCTAGCTCCTTTCTCTTCCTTTTTCACTTTTCACTTTATTTGGATTTAGTTTTTACATATGCATAGATATACGTACAGATATTTATACAGAAGAGCTATATGTGTATATATTTTATCTCTTTTTATTTTTTTTTTTTTATTCTTATTTTTTTATCTTTATTATATTGTATAGTTGGATGTGTGTATATATTATATAAAACTGTAACTGGAGCATGTAACAAAATTAATTTCCCTCTGGGATTATTAAAGTATTTCTGATTCTGATTACTAGACTCCTCTCCACACCTGCTCCAAATCAGCTCGTTAGTCCTTTCTTTGTTTAGTCTCCCATAAATACTCTACTTGTGCAGTTCCTCAGTGCTGGTTCCTAGTCTTATCCTGGATCCTCATGATTGTTTTCCCCTGATGTCTCCATGATTCTGAATTGTTTTACATTTTTCATTTTGGATTTTGGGGTTTTTGGATTCCTGCCTCAGTTGTTTGTGAATATTCAATTAAATCTTCAAGAAACTCACCTCTGCCTCCCTGGCTCTGCATTTGGGTCCTCAAACCTCAACCAAACCTTGACACATACTATAAATCCATCTTTATAAAAACTGGAGCTCCTCTGAGTAACACCTCTGTTATCACATAAACTTAAGGAATTGGGAACAAAATACTGACCAAAAATTACAGTCGGACTCGTTACATTTTTTTTTTTACTTTGTATTGTGTAGTTTTACTTTGTTTCCATAATTTATGACACCTGGGATCTGTTTCAGGAAGCAGGTTTACCAAACTAAGTTTAAAATCCGCAGCTCTAAATTGATCTGGCCTAAAGATTAAAACTCTGAGTTTTCGGTTACACAACAGCTGCTATGAATTAGTTCCATCAACTCTAAGTAGGTCCACTCAGAGTTTAACACGTCCATAACAAGTGTGAAAAGCCACTATCAGTGGAGCGTCGATTGAACGAGTCACTGTGAAAACAAGTGCCTTTTTCATCCCACTGGAACTATAGATTTTAATCAAGATCAACAAAAATGAACAAATGAACAAAAATGGAAAATGTGTTTAAAAGACAGAGAAAAAGTGCTGCAGCTGCAAAGGAGAGGAAGATGGTGAAGGAGAATTGTTGCTTGAGTTAATGTGTGAGTTTATATGAAGTGGTCTATGGCAGGCCATTTTT